ATTATCCATGCTGCTGATTATCCATGCTGCTGATTATCCATGCTGCTAATTATCCATGCTGCTGATTATCCATGCTGCTAATTAGCCATGCTGCTGATTATCCATGCTGCTGATTATCCATGCTGCTGATTATCCATGCTGCTGATTAGCCATGCTGCTGATTAGCCATGCTGCTGTATTCATTCATACCCATCTGCTCACCACAGACCCATGTTCAGGCAGCTGTTGATACTGTTGATTTTAGTATTTTAGTAATATTTTTTGTATGTTTTTACCATTTTATTAGTATTTTTAGTATTTTAGTAATTTTTTAGAATGTTTTTAGTATTTTAGTAATATTTTTAGTATGTTTTTAGTATTTTAGAAGTCTTTTAGTATGTTCTTAGTATTTTTGTAATTTTTTGTGTTTTTAGAATTTTAGTATGTTTTTAGTATTGTAGTATTATTTTTTAGTATGTTTTTAGTATTGTAGTATTATTTTTTAGTATTTTTTTTAGTATTTTTGCTGCATGCTTATTTCTTGTTTTGTGTGTGTGTGTGTGTGTGTGTGGGGGGGGGGGGGTGTTTGGGGGGGGGGGGGTGTTGCAAGTCGAGACAGTTCTTCTCGTCCTAACCATTTCATTGCATTGTTGACCTTGTGTTGATTTTGCACATGACAAATAAACCAAACCTGATATGCCGTATTGTTTTACATTATTAGTGTGCGTATAACCTAGATCTTTAAGCGTACAGTTTGGCATTTGTTTAACTTATATCTTAGTGTATGTCTTAGATTTGTGTATATTGTTTCTTTTCATACTTTATATTTTTGCTATTTTGGGGTGTAACTGGGACCTTGAGTACATAATTTTATTCCACCTCATGTGAATGACAATAAATATACTTGAACTTTTGTCGCTGAACATTTGACAAAGTAAATCTTTTATGTCAAAACGTCCACAGTTTTAGTTTTTCTTCAAATATCTGGTGTGAAAATCCTGACTTCCTAGCTGTGAAATGCACATAAGCAGAACAACTGTGGGTGGGAGAGGGCGTGAAAGCCCCTAAACCAATGTGGGCTTACAGGCTTCCCAACTTTATTGGCTAATCATCAACTTTTAACTACTGTTTGGTTCTGAGCAGTCACCACACAGTCGGGCTCGTGAGGGCTTTTCTTTTTGCAGCTGGATGCCACAGTGATGAAAGACTAAAATAAAAACAGCCGAGGAGAAATCCATACAGCTAAAATGAGAATAAATACACATTGGTGTGTGTCTCAGGGTGTAGGATTGATTAGGTTTTTCGTTGCATTGTCTTTTTTTTTTCATAGGCTCAGAGAAAACATGATTAGCAAAATAACTGGCTAAGAACATTCACCTCAGAAGTGCAGTGATTCAAAACAAATCTGGAAGGGCCAGGATTTCATCTAAAACTGAGGAGAAAACAATCCTGTTAACGTCTGAGGTGGGGTTCAGCTGATGGGGCGAGGGTTGGTCTACACATTAGCGGTTTCCTAACGCCGTCGAGCCAAATCGTGCAGAGCGTTTAAGAAGGATTGAGGGTGAGGAGCTAAATCCAGGGGAGGCAGCAGCGATAAAGACGGAGTGCATTTGCATTTCAACAAATCAGCTCATATTAAACCAGACAAAGGTGTTAAGACTTACACAGAAAGCTTTTTGAAGCATGACGGGATTATTTTCTTGGAAACAATCTTTAGGAATTACTCTGATTAACACCCTGTTTTTATTATTCGTCTTTAAAAGGGAGACGATGCATGAGAAAACAGTAACACATGACTATTTCAAGTATGTGTGGGAGTCGAGCTGTGTCGGGTCACATGAGGTCTCATCAGGGTTTTACAGGCTTCAGGAAGAAACAGAAACTTCTTTGGACATTAAGGGAACCAGAAGGTACTCAGGAGAAGAAAAGTTTCCAACAGCACATCGGGCTGTTGTTCATACCTTCTTTCCCCAACAGGAAATCCAAAAAGTGGTAGGTGTAGGCCACTCCGACTTTAGTTTCCACCTGAGGCCGTCGGAGGGTGGAGTAGATGTTTCCAGGGCTGCGCTTCTCTTCAGCCTTCCTCAGCTTTGGGAGCCGACACCCCATTTCTCTGAGAGAGAAGAGAAAATAAGGAAGCTTTGTAAAATTATGTGAAATTAAACTAGTGTTCCTTAAAGGAATGCATATGGCCGCCGCCTTGCATTAACATCAAAGTTCATGCTCAATAATCCAGGTAGGTAATCCAACAAAGTTCAGTCAGGTCAGATGGACAGTTTTTTTTCTTGTTGTTGAGCCGTTTCGCCCTTCATCCAAAGGACTTCATCAGTCCGAGGCACCACAAACAAACTCAGTCCCACAAGTAGCATACCAACATAGTGGACCAACCAGTTTACTGGTGTTAAGATGGTTTCTGGGGCCTGCCCTCTCCCCCATCAACTCCTCTGATGCAGCCAAAGTGGTTCAAAACATCAAAGTTCATGCTCAATAATCCAGGTAGAAAATCCAGCAAAGTTCAGTCAGGTCATCTGGACGGTTTCTTTTTTTAGTCTCCTCGGACTGATGAAGTCCTTTGGATGACGGACGAAACGTCTCAACAAAACAAAAGAAAAAGGACTCTCAGACCAAATTTGAGCTTGGCATCTGTAAAACTGTCCAGGTCGTACTCGTGTTTGTTTTTGCTGAGCTCGACCAGCTGTGGTGGCCATCTCGAATCAGTTCGACTCCAAAAGTTCATCAGATGTAGAGGTACATTCAGTTGTAACCTGAAGCGTGTAGTTAACCAGATATTTTGCTAACACACGGAGAAACGATCACATGCAAACATACACACAGACATAATCGCCTTTAATAGCAGCAAGTTTTAATAAAAGTACAAATAAAAGCTGAGGAGGCTGGTATAACAAAACTGATAGAGTTTCTAAATATAAGTAATTACACTTTCAATAGAGTGATAGTTTCAAACCAACATAAATCCTTCTGCTCATCTGCCACCTTTAGCTCCGGGGAACTACTGTGTGAATCTAACCACACACACACACACACACACACACACACTGCAATAACACTGAAATATGAGAGTGTCAGCCAGGGCCTGCTTGGTGGGCTGTGATACGGGGCAACTTCTAATCAAATAGGGCTGATTGAGAGCGACATGTTTGATCAGAACGAATTAAAGCAGAAATGAGACCGATTTCCTGCCCTGTCAAGCAGAGCGACACGAGATAGAGAGAGGGAAGGAGAGCCAAAATGTTGAGGATGTTGTACAGATGAACCATTTATATGCTGATCCAGGGCTTGCCTTGAAGCACAAAGACATTTCGGCTGGTTTAGAATCTTATTATATATATATGCTTGTGTGTAAATAAATAAATTGTAAATTTATATTTAGATGGTGATGAGCCTAGGCAGTTTTTTTTTTTTTTTAAAGGGCAATTTAAACTAAGAGTTTGGCTGCAAATTATAATAAAAATTAAAGGCTGAACATTACTTGATGAAATGCATTTAGCCTGTCACCTTTAATACAAGCAAACATTAAATGCACTCTCAGACACTGCAAAATGTCAAACTCGAGCTATGAATTCTGTAAAAATGACAAGAGATACAAACAGTTTGATGTTTGGCCACTGTTTGGTGACCAGCTTGAATTTGATTGGCTCAAAGTTAATCAATTGTAGATGAACATCCAATAATAGTGTGAATGTTTATGAAGCATTCACACTATTGTGATCCATTTTTCTTCCGTACATTATCAGGCGCAATACTCGTGCCGTTTTCAAGCTATTTCAACAAATCACAAACGTTCAGCTCGTTCAGGACAATCCTGCTATGACTTTTGGTATTGGTGCAACTTTAGCTTTTTGAAATATTTTTCTGCTACTTTTCAATCTGTTTTTGCTCATTTTAACTTTTTCGCCGATTTCCTATTTTTTGTGCTCATTTCTGCTTATTTACACCTAATTCTTAAAATGTGTTCTGCTAATTTAAGCTTGTTCTTTCATTTCAGCAACATTTTAGCAGGTTTTTAGCGAATTTCAGCTGTTTTTCAACTAGTTCTTCTGGAATAAGCATTTTCGCAGGTAATGCAATTTCGCTAGTTACTATTTAAAATGTTTAACAATAATATAAATCATGGCTCATGAGATATTTTGCTAACAGACAGGGTTGGCTCCAAAGGTTTGAAGCAAATTATCTTGTCCAATGAGTAGCACTTGGAATGTGTTGGGAAAGACTCTCAGCTACAACCAGTTTTTTTTATCTCAGTGTTTTTAAATTTATTTAATAGCAGCCATTTGTGTGTTTTTTTAAGATCAGTTAGTTGTGGTGGCCATCTTGAACTGTGTTGGCGCTAATGATTATTTCCTGAAAATATTTTTAAAATCCATAGGTTCATGAAACATTTTGCTAATACATAAGAGTTTACTCCAAATAGTTGATAGCAAAGAAATTGAGCAATCCGTTAGTGTTCAGAAGGCGTCCTGGAAAGGACTCTCAGCTACTACCATACCACATTTTAGCTCAGTATCTAACGTTGATTAATTAGAGCCCATTTTGGGGTTTTCTAAGGTCGACTAGCTGTGGCATCCATCTTGAATCAGGTCGACTCCAAAAGTTAATTACTAGTAGTTTGATGTACATCAGATAATTTCTTCGACAGCTTCATTAAAATTAGTCCAGTGGTTCGTTAGATACTTTGCTAACATGTACATACATGTGATTGCAGTATTTTATGTGTATTTACACCATGAAATGCAGGTGAGGCTGGAAAAACAACAAGAGTTGGGTGATAAGGCGCAACAAAAGAAAACAATGGGAATAAATGACAGGGGGAAAATGGGGCGTGGCCAAAAAAGCATCAAGCAAATTAGATGTGACAGGTTTGATACCCTCCAACCATCGCCACAGATACGCTTATTAATTCCGTCTGCCACAGCTTGCAAGAGTCACATGGTGAGGTGCACATCTGCATATCTAAATGTGTGTTTGTGTGTGTGTGAGTGTGTCCTCCCCAGAGGCAGGTCTATATCTGGATCTCTGGATCTGATCAGGGAGCATGGAGAATGACATAGTAACTCTCACTGGACTGAGTGCACGGACATTAACTCGGCTAACGATCCAAACGGACGACATTACGCGTGTGTCTGAGTGTGATGTGTGTTTTGGTGACTTACAGCTTCAGCTGCGTGCATTTCAAAAGGTTAGATACGTTTGAAAAAAATCCTTTATCTTGGTTACATTTTCTTTGCTCATCAGTTTTGAGTCACTCAAGTTGTTTCGAATTTTGCAAAGTCGAAGCAATTAAGATTCATTACTCCTTTAATGCAATGCTCGTTCTTAATGAAAACAAATGAGGAGAGATGGAGTGACGATGTCCTGGTAGGACACTTAAGTGTCTGATTTGTCTCTAATCTTCCTCCCACCATCTTGACTCATCTGCCCCCACGCTTCGCTCCAACATTTATCTTGTTTGTAGAGTTTAAAACTCTACCTGTCTACAACAAGCATTAATAACTCATTTTAAGCTCTTCTGCCTCTGCTCTCCATCTCTGATTATCCACTCCTCCCCTCCCTTTCATCTTATACAATGGGCTTGATTAGTTTTACTCTTCCATTTCCATCTGATTATAAGACTTTAAAAAAATCTCTACACTCGCCGCCAGTTAATTCTGACCTCTACATTTTCTCTTTCAATTCGTCAGTGTTGCACATTTTATTTTTAATTATATCCCTCCCACCCCCCACCCCCCATTCTCTCACTTTTCTGGTCAACTCTGTGCCATCCATTTCTACCAGTTATGATGCTTCCAGTCCATTTGACTGTTTTCTACCACTTCGTCTGCATTGCAACTGTAGACGTGATTTCTGAGCTAATCAAAAGACTTTCTCTTCATCCATCCATCTATTAACTTCCACTTTTTCCAAAGTTGGGTTGCCGGGGCAGCAGCTTGAGCAGGGAGGCCCAGACATCTTCTTCCAGCTCTTCTGGGAGGACCCCAAGGTGTTCCCAGGCCAACTGAGAGACGTAGTCTTTCCAGTGTGTCCTGGGTCTTCCCTGTAGTCTCTTCCCAGTCGTACATGCCCGAAGCACCTCCCTAGGGAGGCGCGCAAGAAGAATACTTACCAGATGTCCGAACCACCTCAACTGGCTCCTCTTGATGTGAAGGAGCAGCAGTTCTACTCTGAGTCTCTCCCAGATAACTGAACTTCTCACCCTATCTCTAAGGGAGAGTTCAGCTACCCTGTGGAGGAAACTCATTTCAACTGCCTGTATCCACAATCTCATCCTTTCTGTCACTACCCAACGTTCATGACCATAGGTGAGGGTAGGAACATTAGACCGGTAAACAGAGAGCTTTTCCTTACGGATCAGCTCCCTCTTCACCACAATGGACCGGCACAGAGTTCGCAATACTGCAGACGCTGCACTAATCCATCTGTCAGTCTCATGCTCCATTCTTCCCTCACTCGTGAACAAAACCCCGAGATACCTGAACTCCTCCAATTGAGGCAGAACCTCACACTCGACCCCAAGAGAGAAATTCACCATTTTCCAACAGAGGACCATGGCCTGAGATTTGGAGGTGCCGATTCTCATCCCAGCCGCTTCACATCCAGCTGTGAACCGCTCCAGTGAGAGTTGGAGATCACGGCATGGTGATGCCAACAGGACCACATCATCTGCAAAGAGCAGAGATGGAATCCTGAGGCCACCGAACCAGAAACCCTCCACTTTCTCTTCAGGGTTTCCACATTTGTTCCTTGAACAAAAGCTGAGGAGCTGAAGGTCTATCTTTTCTGAACTCCACTAATAACTCCAGCTACTGTTTCTCCCAGTCATTCCTCATTTGTTATCAGAGGTAACACAGTCCAAGTTGTGGGAGCATAAATCAACAAGAGTCAATATCTTTGACTTTTGGTTTACGTCTCTTTCGACCCAAACAAACCAGTACAGCATCTGTCAGGTCAGATTAACTCCAGTTATACAAAAGTCTTCTCCAACCCACTTTTTACATTAGAGAGATTTGTAGCTTTAAACCTTTGGGTGCCTTCCTGCTTTCCAACACTCCACCATTTCATCCAACCATGCATCCCTTTGTCCCACAGCAAAT